GACTGAGCTAAACACACACCACTTGACCAGAAAGTCTAGACAGCAACACAGCCCGGCTGACCAGTCTCCAGCCTCACTCAGTTACAAGAAACAGTTTAGACTGAGCAAGCTGTCAAGTTTTACAGTGTTAAATCATTATGATTTGAGAATTTTTTATAACTAACTATTCTTTATCCTTACCTAGAAGCTGTTACTCTGAAGTGGAGAGTTTTATGACAAAAAAAATAACCAAAGAACCCTAGAATATGTGAGATTGAGATGAGGTTCAAGTAAACAAACATGAGAGTTTGGAAGGCTAGAGACACCTGTAATGGCAGACAAAATACTTGATAAAATTGCTGTCTATGATAATTTGACGGAGAAGGCAAAGGCAACCCCTCCAGTACTCTTGCCTGGAAAATCCCATGGATGGAGGAGCCTGGTAGGCTGCAGTCCATGGGGTCGCTAAGAGTCAGACACGACTGAGCGACTTCACTTTCACTTTTCACTTTCATGCATTGGAGAAGGAAATGGCAATCCACTCCAGTGTTCTTGTCTGGAGAATCCCAGGGATGGGGGAGCCTGGTGGGCTGCTGTCTATGGGGTTACACAGAGTCGGACACGACTGAAGCGACTTAGCAACAGCAGCAGCATGATAACTTGAAAGACAGGCCACTACCTATGAGTCTGTAGCTTTAACAGAAGTGGTTGGAAAGTGTTCTATATTGTCTCCTATTGCCGGCCTTCAGCAAGGTATTACTGGAAAAGATGAGCTCAGGCAAAAAATTGTCTGGTTTCCAAGCAATAACAGAAGGGAATAAACAAATTCAAATGCTTCACGAGGTTAGAAAATCTGTTTCTCCTTTCCCCAAATATGAAGAGATAGAGAAAGTGAAAGTGAAAGTCACTCAGCCGTGTCCAACTCTTTGTGACCCAGGCCAGAATACTGGAGTGGGTAGCCTTTCCCTTTTCCAGGGCATCTTCCCAACCGAGGGATCGAACCCAGGTCTCCCGCATTGCAGGCAGATTCTTTACCAGCTGAGCCACAAGAGAAGCCCAAATATGAAGAGAGAAGGTGTTAAGACACCTTAGGCAACAAAATCCAATAAGACTTCTCAGCTAGGCAAAGTAACTCAGCCTTGCAACAGACATCAAAATAAGGGTGTCACCTTCCCAGCCAAACCCTGACTTACAGCATCCACTCTTCATTTGAGAGATACAAGAGTGAAGACAGGGAAAGTTTAAGAATCATATATAGAGGAAATCTATCTGCATGGTAACCAGCATATGGAACTTACCGAAAGTAAACAGATTGAAAACTGTCAGAATTTTGGACGAACTACCAAAGAAATCAGGAGGATGGTTTAAAGATGCCTCTTTTGGAAAAGTTTTAACACAACCCCTTAGGAAGGAAGGGACAGTGGAAGCTACACACATTCCCAGAAAAGGCATTCTCACCAAAGTCTGTGTCTGATGTGAGTATAAAGGGTAATGGATGAGAAAGAACTTCCCAAAAGGAAAGCCAGGGGCTGTGCGGAACAGTGATCAAGGAAATTCCTCTCTGAAAGCAGAATCAGGGCCAAGCAAAGAATTTCTTCCACCTCCAGGTTAGAAAGCCTTAAGAAAGCTTGTTTAATAGAATTTCAGAATCTATGAACCAAAGATTGCCATGTCTTCCATGCTTTCCTTTTCCCGGTAGAGTTTTCTTTGTGTTTATCCTGTGCCTGCTCCACCATCACTAAGTGGGTAGGGAAAGTAGATAACTTTCCTTCCCTGTTCACATGTCTATAGTTTAGAAGCTGTCTCATCCAGCCCTCAGAATGGGACTGCATACCACCCAGAAATCTCAAACTTGAAACTGGATGCAGCAATCAGATAGGTTGTCTGCCTTGGATGATATGTTCTACACGTGGGAGGAATATGAGACAGATCCTAAGTACCAACAGAACAAGCAATCATAAAAGTCTCTTGAATGTTCACAAAACCTTCCCAGGCACAAGCTAGATTACATTTTCCCAACTTGCCTTCCATTTAGGTCTAATGATCTATAACAGAGTTTGACCAATAGAATATGAATGTAATGCTATGTCCCAGCTCTAGGTCTGGCCCATTAAAATCCCCCAAGGTGACCCTCCCTCTCTTTTTCTCTCTGCCTGCCAGATTCAGAGATCCCAATAAGAGGATTCCAAGATCCTCGGGAATAGTAGAGTCATAAGATCAGACAAACAACAAAAAGTCTAGGTCATCACAGAACCATGAAAGGAAAACAAAGAAAACAGCCAGGAGGCAACCATCAGCAAAGAGTGGAGAAAACTTTCTAGAACCAAAGGATGCCATTCATTCTTAGTTTCTTCTACAACTCCCATGTTTCATTCAATAAAAATGCACTTTTGTCATTGGAAGCCACAAGAAACATACTGTTTCAAAATAACATTATCATAGTTCTGGTTGTTATCTTCATCAAATTGATATGCATATATGAGAATGGGAGGAAAGGGATAATTTTTATCTCTATGGGACAATCACTTTTAAAATATTGAGAGTCCCTTGGACTGCAAGGAGACCCAACCAGTCCATCCTAAAGGAAATCAATCCTGAATATTCATTGGAAGGACTGATGCTGAAGCTGAAACTCTAATACTTTGGCCACCTGATTCAAAGAACTGACTCATTTGAACATCCACCAATGCTAGGAAAGATTGAAGGTGGAAGGAGAAGGGGACGACAGAGGATGAGATGGTTGAATGGCATCACCGACTCAATGGACATGAGTTTGAGAAAACTCCAGGAGTTGGCGATGGACAGGGAGGCCTGGTGTGCTGCAGTCCATGGGGTTGCAAAGAGTCAGACATGACTGAGCAACTGAACTGAACTGAACTGAATATTTATTTGAATAGCAAAATGAACAAGCTCATTAGCAGCATTAAAAATGAACCAAGAAACTGGCAGACTTTCTCTATGTCTGTGACTAAAGGAAAATATCCTTCCATTTTCGCAGCCTCTGAAAGTTTAGAAACTATCCAATGGACTACTTTCTACTTTCTTTTGTCCAGTAGCCATGTGTATAAAAGATAGATGCATTCCTACAAAAGTAAGATTTTTTTCCTAGGGAAAGCTCAGAAAGCATAACTCTATTCAAAATATATTAGCCCATAAAATCAACTTACTACTATTCATATTTAGGAGCTTACTGAGAAATAAGTCTCTATAAAGTTATATCAAAAGTAAAGATAACAGAATGCATTTTGAAGAGGTCACATACAAAAAGAACCATCATTCTCTCATAATGGGGAAAGATCACATTACAGATAGCCTTTCTAAGAAGAAATGTATTGAATGCACCATGAACTTGAGAATACTGTGCCAAGGAGAACTAAGACTCCATGTAAGTTGTTCTTTTGATTTAAAGTTATAATACCTTGCCCTCCCTCAATTCCATATTGTATTTCAGCAACTCAAGGCTCTAAAGTGAGTTCATATAATACAGACAAGTACTATCTTAGTCTCATGCTTGCAAATACCCTGACTAACCTAAAGCAATGTGATTAGTGGCAAAACGACACCAGAATCAAAGTCAGGAGTCCTGGATTCCTGTCCTGGAGCTGCCACTAGCCAACTCTCATTTGTCTTTCCTGTAAATGGTTAAATTAGATAATCTCTAAGTCTCATGCCAGAAATTCTATGGCTTTCTGGCTGGTGGTAACCAGGATTGAAGAACTAACAGATTGTTGAGCCTCTGTTGGCAACTAAAAGACTCCCCTCCTCTGCTACTCAGCCCCGCAGTAAATCTTGTCTTCCTTCCTTTTAGTTGTCCTTTCTCTTCTTCTGCCAGGTCCCTGCCTTCATTCAAAACTACCATCCATTATTCTCCAACTGTAAGAATAATGTTCGCTGTGCCAAATACTTGACTTTCATTATCTCATTTAATCCTGACAACCGCCTCATGAAAGAGGTAAAACTATTTTCTCATTTTACAGATCATGAGCCTGAGACTTAGAAAGATAGTCTTTGCTTCCCTCTACCTATGACTGTTGTATTCCAGGGTGCACGACAGAACCATCATTAAACACCCTGAATGGAGTCCTTGGCCACAGTGACACAAGGAAAAGGACCAAACGAATGACCTCACAATGCCCGGCTCACAACAGCTATTCAGGGTTAGCCAATCCCTTATGTAACACCTGAGGTTAAAGTGGGGCTGTAAACGTTGCTTTGGGAAGGGAGTGATCACTCAAGCTGCTTTACTCCACTAACTTTCATAGATCTCAGCTGCACTTTAGCTTCATCGGGAGTTTGGATGTGATATATTCACCATGAACAAGGACAATATCTTCACACTCATGAAAACTAATAACAACGGGTCAGGAACCAGAGATAAACATGTTGGTCACAGGGTCTTTCTTCTCCTTATACTTAATTCACTTTAGTCTTATTCCTCTATTTTACTCACAAAGATGCTGTGAAAGCTAAACTATGAGAAGCATTAGATTGTGACTGTAAAGAGTGAAAAGGTTTTGGGTCCTTGAGCAGGTTATCCTTCATAAGCCCCTATTTCCTCATGTGTAAAATTATAAAAGTAGCTATTTTCAAGGGTTTTTATAAGGATTGAATAATTTATACCACCTCACACTGGGTAGAATGGCTATTATCAAAAAATGAAAAATAACTGTTGGTGAGGATGTGGAGAAAAGGGAGTCCCAATAACTGTTGGTGGAAATATAAATAGGTGGAACTACTATGGGAAAAAGTATGGAGGTTCCTCATAAAAAATTTATAATAAAACTACTATATAATCCAGGCCGCCCACCCAAGCACCCCGGGAGCCGGCGGGCGGCGGCCCTCGCCGGGGACCCTCCAGCGGGCCCAGGGGGACAAAAGTGGCTCTAAATCCAGCACGTGCGTACTGAGGCAAGTTAATGGATTTAATATGAAGCACAGAAGCAGATAATGCCAAAGAGCAAGCAGTAATTGGTACACATTTAGTGAGTGGGGCGGCCTTTCCTTCTCCCACTGCTGCTGAGATGGCGGAAATAAGTCGAATTCAGTATGAAATGGAATACACCGAAGGTATTAGTCAGCGAATGAGGGTCCCGGAAAAATTAAAGGTAGCACCACCAAACGCTGACCTGGAGCAAGGATTTCAAGAAGGAGTTTCAAACGCTAGTGTGATCATGCAAGTTCCAGAGAGAATTGTGGTAGCAGGAAATAATGAAGACATTCCATTTTCAAGACCAGCAGATCTTGACCTTATACAGTCAACTCCCTTTAAGCCTCTGGCTCTAAAAACACCACCTCGTGTGCTTACACTGAGTGAAAGGCTGCTAGATTTTCTGGATTTAGAAAGACCTGCTCCAACCCCTTAAAACGAAGAAATCCGTGCAGCTGGCAGGCTAAAAAGAGAACGCTCTATGAGTGAATATGCTGTTCGCCAAAATGGACAGCTGGTCAAAACTGACTCCATGTGGCACAGATCAGATTCTGCCCCAAGAAATAAAATGTCAAGGTTCCAGGCACCGATTTCTGCACCGGAGTACACTGTGACACCATCGCCACCGCAGGTCCGGGTTTGCCCTCCCCGTATGTTACCTGAAGACGGAGCTAATCTTTCCTCTGCTCGTGGCATTTTGTCGCTTATCCAGTCTTCCATTCGTAGGGCTTACCAGCAGATCTTGGATGTGCTGGATGAAAATCGCAGACCTGTGTTGCGTGGTGGGTCTGCTGCCGCCACTTCTAATCCTCATCATGACAACGTCAGGTATGGCATTTCAAATATAGATGCAATGATTGAAGGAACTTCAGAAGACATGACAGTTGTAGATGCAGCTTCATTAAGACGACAGATAATCAAACTAAATAGACGTCTACAACTTCTGGAAGAGGAGAACAAAGAACGGGCTAAAAGAGAAATGGTCATGTATTCAATTACTGTAGCATTCTGGCTGTTTAATAGCTGGCTCTGGTTTCGCCACTAGAGGTAACCTCAGCTCTCAGAAATATTGTCTCAACAGCTGGAAATATAAAGAATTTGCAAACTTAAAAAAAAAAAAAACTACTATATAATCCAGCAATTCCATTTCTAGGTATTTATCTGAAGAAAGTGAAAACACTAATTTAGAAAGATATACACACCCCCATTGTTTACAACAGCAAAGATACAGTAACAACCTATGTCAACTGATAGAAGAATGGATAAAGAAAATTTGAAATATATATGTGTGTGTGATAGAAGAATGGATAAAGAAAATCTGAAATATAAAGAAAATGGAATATTACTCAGCCATAAAAAAGAATGAAACTTTGTCATTTGTGACATGAATACCTTGAGGGCATTATGCTAAATGAAATCAGTCAGATCGACAAAGACAAATACTAAATGATCTTCTTTACATGTGGAATCGAAAAAAAAAGGCTAAAAAACAGAAAAACAAGCTAGTAGATACAGAAGTTAGATTGGTGGTTGCCAGAGGTGGGTAGATAGGAAGTAACTGATATGAGTGAAGGGGGCTAAAAGAAAAAAAATTCCAGTTATGAAATACATAAGCCATGGGAATATAATGTATAACATGGTGACTATAGTTAAAATATTGTATTGTGTATTTGAGGGCTTCTCTGGTAGCTCAGACAGTAAAGAATCTGCCTGCAATTCAGGAGACTTGGGTTCTATCCCTGAGTTGAGAAGATTCCCTGTAGAAGGGAATGGCTACCCATTCCAGTATTCTTGTCTGGGAAATTCTATGGACAGAGGAACCTGGAGAACTACAGTCCATGGGGTCACAGAGAGTCAGAGAGTCAGACATGACTGAGTAACTTATACACTATTGTATTTGAAAGCTGCTAGAGAGTAGATTTTAGAAGTTCTTATCACAAGAAAACAAAAATTTCATAACCATACTTGATGACAGATGCTAACTAGACTTGTGATCATTTTTCAATATATACAAATATCAAATAATTATGTTGTACACATGAAACTAATATAATGTTATATGACAATTATAGCTCAAGAAAGAAAAGATAATTTATGTGAAATGCTTGAAACTGTAAAGAGTAAATTTTAGATACAAATGTAAATATAGATTAAAACAAATATTATTATATAAAGATACAAGGACATATATATACACATAAGTAAATGCATAGATGATAGAAGATAGAAAGATGAACACATACAAAAGTGAGTCTGTACATACAAAATCTTTCTTTCAGTGAGTTTGACAAAGTCCTTAAAACAGCAGCGCCAGAGGCTCCTGAGCAAGTTCATGTTTACTGCACAGGTCTCTGGCGCCACCTTGTGGCCATATAGCATAGCAGCCCAGCACTGACTCCAACCACAGAAGCTGCCAACTCTGACCTTTCGAAAGCCCTACCCCTTAAATACTGAAAAGATGAAATAGCTTCCTTGATTGGAAGAACTCTATCCTGTTTCAGATGCAAACAGTGCATAAAGCTCACTCTATCAACCACAAACCCACCTGTGTGTTTTTTATTGAAGTATCCCAGCTAAACTTACTGTCTCTGTGCAACTCAAGTTATGCCCTTAAGAATTCTGCAACTGTCAATCAATTGAGAGAGAGGCATAATACACAACTGACTAAAATAGGACCAGAAAAGAGCCGGATGGAGGTGTGTAGACAAAAATGAGCGTTTTGGAGGGAACCTAACCAGAATGCAAAAGCAAGACTAAGGGCAGGCTACACTAAGAGTTGAGTGGGAAAGTGATTCAACACATTTTCTTTGAGCTCCAGCTCCTCTGGGTCAGGCTCTCTGCTAAGGGCTAGAGATCTGAAGACAGCTACCACCTTCAGAAGCTCACTGAGGCGATATCTTGAGGGAGGACTAAGGAATCACGCCCAATACACCATGTTAACCCAAACAAGCAGTAAATCAAGGGGAGGAAAACTACTAGATTTATAAAGCTAATTCCGGGATATCAACATGTTGCTAGACCAAAGCAAAGTTTAATCCATATAAGCTACTTCTTCTTTTGGAAAGAAAAAAAATCTTTCACTTTGTGTTCCCCAGAGAAAAATTGTTCCCTCTTCTAAGGCCAAGTTCAAAACATTCCTTCTTCCATTGTATCTCCTCTCACCAACTGAATCCCAAATCATTGGCCCACTGTTTCTATGAATTTTAAGCACCCCAGCCCTAATTTTATTACTTAGGATTTGCTTCTGAGTGACTTTGCATTTTTATTCTCCAGTGAACTAAATCATTCATATATCTTGTCCCAATTTCTCCTAAATAAATATTGTACTCTTTGAAGGTACGAAACAGGTCCTCAATTTCTGCAGTTTCAAAGTCCCTGCCTCCATCGCTTCAGCTGGTCTTGACCCCCATCAGGCTTAAGCTCACTTACCATCCTTCACCTCTGCCCACAAGGCTACGTACACAGAAACTCTCCTTCTTCATCTTCCTTCCAAGCCCTCAGAAAGAGGTGGCCCCGCTTCTTTTCAGAGAATCTTTCCAAAATCATGTTCTGGTTTTCATCTCCTTTCACTTTTCTCCAGCACCTAACATCATTCTTTGCTGATAAAGCCTTAGGTTACTTCCACATCTTGGCTATTAAACATCAGTGCATATCTTTTCATATCAGTGTTTTTGCTTTCTTCAGGCATATACACAGAAGCGGGATTGCTGCATAACACAGTAGTCTTAATTTTTTGAGGCACCTCCATACTGTTTTCTACAGTGGCTGCACCAAATTTACATTTCAACAGTATACTAGGGTTCCCTTTTCTATACATCCCTGCCAACATTTATTATTTGTTGTCCATTTGATGATAGACATTCTGACAGGTGTGAGATGATATCTCACTGTGCTTCTGATTTTCATTTCCCTGATAATAAGTGATGCTGAGCATTTTTTCATGTGCTCAACAGATTTGTTTATTTCCTATCTCATTTGACTTTTTTTTAATTACGCTTGACACTGCTGACCACTTGCCCCTCCTTAAATTCTCTCCAGATACTCTTCATTCAGTAAGTGCTTATCAGCTTTTCCCTATATACTATGCTCTTCCTTAGTTGAGGAGTCAAATAGAAAGAAATGATCCCTGCCCTCAGCAGTTCCCGGTTTAGCAGGGAAAGCTGAATACACTGTAAGGAAAGTTCAGGGGAAGAAGTAGATGAGTGTCCTGGTCCTCCTACTAAACTTTTCCATGTTCTTCTCTCCCCACAACAAAGGTCTCTACAACTATGGATCACAACTATGGATCTGCAACTATGGATACCCTATTCACACGTATTCATCCCCAACACAGCACATATAGTTCAGTTCAGTTCAGTTCAGTTGCTCAGTCATGTCTGACTGCGACAACATGGACTGCAGCACACCAGGCCTCCCTGTCCATCACCAACTCACGGAGTTTACTCAAACTCATGTCCATTGAGTTAGTGATGCCATCCAACCATCTCATCCTATGTCGTCCCCTTCTCCTCCCGCCTTCAATCTTTCCCAGCATCAGGGTCTTTTCAAAGGAGTCAGTTCTTCTCATCAGGTGGCCAGAGTACTGGAGTTTCAGCTTCAACATCAGTCCCTCCAATAAACACCCAGGACTGATCTCCCTTAGGATGGACTGGTTGGATCTCCTTGCAGTCCAAGGGACTCTCAAGAGTCTTCTCCAACACCACAGTTCAAAAGCATCAACAACTCTCACATCCACACATGACTACTGGAAAAACCATAGCCTTGACTAGACGGACCTTTGTTGACAAAGTAATGTCTCTGCTTTTTAATACGCTGTCTAGGTTGGTCATAACTTTTCTCCCAAGGAGTAAGAGTCTTTTAATTTCATGGCTGCAGTCACCATCTGCAGTGATCTTGGAGCCCAAAATAATAAAGTTTGTAACTGTTTCCACTGTTTCCCCATCTATTTGCCATGAAGTGATAGGACCAAATGCCATGATCTTTGTTTTCTGAATGTTGAGCTTTAAGCCAATTTTTTCACTCTCCTCTTTCATTTTCATCAAGAGGCTCTTTAGTTCTTCTTCACTTTCTGCCATAAGGGTGGTGTCATCTGCATATCTGAGGTTATTGATAACTCTCCCGGCAATCTTGATTCCGGCTTGTGCTTCATCCAGCTCAGCGTTTCTCATGATGTACTCTGCATATAAGTTAAATAAACAGGATGACAATATACAGCCTTGATGTACTCCTTTTCCTATTTGGAACCAGTCTGTTGTTCCATGTCCAGTTTTTTTTTTTTTTTTCCATGTCCAATTCTAACTGACCTGCATACAGATTTCTCAAGAGGCAGGTCAAGCAGTCTGGTATTCCCATCTCTTTCAGAATTTTCCACAGTTTATTGTGATCCACACAGTCAAAGGCTTTGGCATAGTCAATAAAGCAGAGATAGATGTTTTTCTGGAACTTCCTTGCTTTTTCTTTTTTTCCATTTGTTTTTATTAGTCGGAGGCTAATTACTTTACAATATTGTAGTGGTTTTTGCCATACACTGACATGAATCAGCCATGGATTTACATGTGTTCCCCATCCTGATCCCCCCTCCCACCTCCCTCTCCATCCCATCCCTCTGGGTCTTCCCAGTGCACCAGCCCTGAGCACTTGTCTCATGCATCCAACCTGGGCTGGCGACCTGTTTCACCCTTGATAGTATACTTGTTTCAATGCTGTTCTCTCAGAACATCCCACCCTCGCCTTCTCCCACAGAGTCTATAAGTCTGGTCTGTACATCTGTGTCTCTTTTTCTGTTGTGCATAGAAGGTTATTGTTAACATCTTTTTAAATTCCATATATATGCGTCAGTATACTGTATTGGTCTTTATCTTTCTGGCTTACTTCACTCTGTATAATGGACTCCAGTTTCATCCATCTCATTAGAACTGATTCAAATGAATTCTTTTTAATGGCTGAGTAATATTCCATGGTGTATATGTACCACAGCTTTCTTATCCATTCATCTGCTGATGGGCATCTAGGTTGCTTCCATGTCCTGGCTATTATAAACAGTGC